ATTTATATGTAAAGAATTATTTATTTGACCGAATAAAAAGCGCCACCTTTCTCAAAATTGTCCTTTACTTTTGATTCTATTATTATTGAAATATATATTGGGATATAAGCAAGGATGCTCTTATTCATTCGTATAATCCAGGTTGATCGCATCAATTATCCTCGACACATTACACTTAATGGAATAATAATTTAGGTATATTTCACGTTCCCAAGTTGTCACATCTAGTCATTAAAAATACATAATAATGATAAAACGAAGAAATTGTCCAATTTAATCGAGCTTATATTTGAATGCATGTTATGTTAAAATTTGATTTAATTACATGCATGAATTTATCGGGCTGCAAAATTTTGAACATGTACAATCAAATGTTAATGTTAACTAAAAAGTAAAATTTTAGATATATTAGTGTTAACCGAAAATCACACATGCGCGCACACAGGCGCACACACGCGCATACATGTATATATTTATATATATTTATATATTTATGTTTCATTCGTTTCATTTGATTTTGAATTTAAAATTTCATGAAAATTTAGAAATTAATTGACGATATTACAGACAATGTGCAATATTTTATGAGAAAGACAATAGAATAATACTAAAAGGCAAGAAAAATGTTTTTTTTTTTTTTTAAGTTCGTACAATTCATGTACAAGGAGCATGACAGTAGCAAATATACCGCTACCGCAAATAAAATCCAACTTAATAAAGAACCGAGACTGCTAGAAAAACACGATTCATTACGTGAAAAAGAGATTGATTAGTGCTCGTGTTTCAATAATCTGATCAATTAAAAAATGACAAAGCCTCTCCATCAGACTAACAAGTACATGCGCGCTCCTGAGGATTTGTACCGACTTTGCTTCTCCCAGCGGTATTCTCCCTTTTTTTATTTCCTTGACTCTAATAAGCTTAAGGGATTAGATCGATGCTGTCGTGTGTACTCTTTATCTCTCTCTTTCTCTCTCTCTCTCTCTCTCTCTCTCACTCTCTCTCTCATTGTTTTTTCAGTTCTCTTATTATTCTATAGAAACGCCTGCTAAGAATTGCGTTGCGGTGCGCTGCTACGTTGGCGCGCGGTAACAAGTTCGGAAAAATTGGAAAAAAGTTGTAGTACCGAGGCGTGAGCTCGAGTATACCCAGCCGATTGACCATTTTAATTGCAATTTTCACGCGAACTGATGCAGAATATACGATTGGCCGATGAAATGTGTTGGGTCGCGTGGATGGCCGCGTTGGGATGAGGGGGTAGGGGGTCGCGTGGGCGTACACAACCCCTCAAAGGACTTTCATGTATCAGAGAGGTGCACGAGCCGCGTACGTTGCGTATGCCCGAATGAGTGATATATTGATTTTCAGCAAAATTGCAAAACAGCAATGTACACACGTTGTAAGCGTCAAGTGAATAATTAAATTGGCTGTGCAGTCGTGGATCTAATTTAGTTTTTGAATAAATACAATTTTTAATTGCCAAGGCTCCGCACGTGACTTGTTTTCCTGCACTAGCATATAATGTTCCCATAATTTTATTTGCATAATTAAGTGAAATTGTTCGGGTGGCTATTTCATTTGCACATAAATTATGCCTCGAATTGGTGAAAAATTGCAATGTTAATGTAAAAGAGAATAATTATTAATCATAGCTAAGGTGTTTTAGTATTAATTAATTAATAATGAAAATATTTTATATATCGAGGCATACAATTAGTTTGATAGTTTGACATCGCAGAATTACGTTTTAAGGACAATGTTGACAAACATTTATCAATTACTTGTGCTTAAAAGCACATTGATAATGCATGGCATTCAATATTTGCCCTTAATATAAGGAGTCATTAGAAAATTAATTGCAGAATTCGGCTTCCTTCCCCTTCGAATCATTTACGCGACATAGAAAGAAATATTCAGCATTGAATTCACGCAGTTTAATAAATAGGACAATGTTAATAAGGGTAAAGTATAAATTATACTCCTAGCACAGGCATTTTATATAATCTTAAAGAATATTCAAATGTAGCTGATAGCATACACAAACAGAGAGCTTAAACACATAAGTAAAATTGCAATTTTCACCTCTGTGCACGTGAAAAATCATCCTTATAAGGCCGATAACTGTCAAGACGAGGGCTTTGAGAGAAACGATAGATTAGGGCTACGGAAATGATAGGTGAATCGATGATTCCACTGATACACAATGGATAGAATCTGAAAACACGGCGGCAAGTTTATTTGACATTTGAACCGCGCGAAACGTCAAGCTTTTGTTTCCCAGCTTAATCGATGCGTCGTCGCATGCGAGTCAGTGGCGGCGACGGCAGCGGTTTTATCGCTGTCACGCACATAATTAATTTAATTTAGTTTAATACGTCGTCCCGGATGACGGCGGCAGCCGACGATTGCCGCGTCGATTGTTTGCACGGAAACGACGCCATTAGCCGGCGGACCTGTTATACTTTGTGCCCGCGACTTCCCCTCCCTTCGAGACATTTGCCGTGGCGCTTTTTGCTCATCGCGTGCTTTTGCTTTTTTTAAACAGCTGCTTTGGCCCCGATTAGCTTTGGCTGCCTTGATCGGCGAGCGTGTATCGCGAGCTCGTGCACCCCCTGCTTTTTCCCGACGAAGGTCGAATGCAAACGCCCATTATTACGGCTTCGAAAAAACAAAATCACAATAATCCATGAATTTTCGGTGATATTACATTGTTTTTCGATCGAGCAAATTATGCAAAATGACCCGAATTCCTAGATTCAATTTGTTTCACTCCTATTTATTGCGATGTAACATTCACTAACCATATGATAAGTTTATCACGTGTTTGTTCCTGGATTCTTTACATTATAATCTTACGCTATGGTTCTTATTCTATATTGATAATTAATTTTATGTTTGAATATAAAATTCTCGTTTATTAATTAATAAGCTAATCGTCAATAAATCACCAACTACTAATAAAATACACACACGTGCGCGCGCGCGCACATACACGCACGTACACACACACTCACACGTGCACACGCACACACACACATACACACACACATGCACACACACTCATTATACTTTTTCGTTAGGTTGAAAATTATCATTTAATAAATATTTATCGTAAAACATATTTTATGGTTAATTATATATATATATATATATATATATATATGAAAACAAATACATGAAGATTCGGTGGTAAATAAGGAAAAATTTATAATTTAACAAAGAGCTAATTATCATTGAATTAAGATTGAAATTCAGCATTTATTCTGTACAGTCCACCAGGTTTGTCAGTTTAATAAAGCTTTATGAAATTTCAATTGGACCCGACGTGGCAGTTCTATTTAAATCTATGCAAGTTAAATAACAATAAATAATGCACTTTAAAAGCTGAGCTCATTGAGCGATAATCGTATGACATAATTAAAGACTCGTAACTTGTGAGATATCAAATAAATTGGAAACTAGCTATTAAACACGAGGGCTTTGAAAATTGATCGTGCAAGCATATTGACGGGACTTTATAGAAATACGTTTATTCAATGTGCAGCGATATTTTATTATTCGCTAAGCTAAGATAAATTCCGTCATTTCGCGATTTGTCGGGACACACTTGCGCGTCCCACTTTTCCTCCCACTACTCGTCGGAATTCCCGAAAGAAATGAGTCACGTCGCGATTACCTCCTGATTAATTTTTATTCTCGATAGCATCCGCCTCACGTGAGCACGAGGATTTATTGGTCAGCTGCTGAATGCGAATGCGCCTCTTAGAATTATCAATCATTTTTAAGTGACTTTCTTTTGGTCGACGGTCGCCATGCTATTAAACTTGGCCGATACGAAATTTCGCTTAATATTGCCCGTACTTCTTGCCTCGCTAAACATTTCAATTTTCACTTTTCATAGTTGATAGTTGGGAGATTGTTAATATCGCTCGCCTCCACTAAAGCCGACGACTTATTTAATTTGAAATAAACGCGATTGATTATTTAAATAAAAGCAAACGCCAGCTAACCCTGTGAAATACATAATGTAATTATAACGACAAAAATGTCCGAGCTCGACTGACCTGCACGCGAACCTCCGGTAAATTGACCTTCATCGCTAGCTCCTCGCGCGAGTACACATCCGGATAGTGTGACTTTTCGAAGGCCAATTCGAGCTCGTGTAGCTGGTACGTGGTGAAGGTCGTCCTGTTGCGGCGATGCTTCTTCTTGCTGGGGCCATTGCTTTCATCGTCGCTGCCGCCGCCCGTCGAATTGTAGCTGCTTTCACCTGTAAGCAATTAAATTTCCCGCTAAGTTCGGGTGTTTGTTCGACAATGCGATCTCGGGATTTGCTAATGTACGATAAATTTTGGACAGGCCCCAAATCACATTCGACATTTTAATAATTTATTTTATTATCAAAGCGTGGATGGATAATTAATTAATAATTATGTTGATTGATGAATGAAAGGTGAAGGCAAGAATGGATTAATGAAAAACTTTTTGGATTTCTTTGCGATTTTTAAATAGATTGAGATTAGTTGAAGATTGTATTCAACGAGAGAAAGAATACAGAGAGAGAGAGAGAGAGAGAGAGAGAGAGAGAGAGAGAGAGAGAGAGAGATAAATGTCCATCTATAATATAAGGTAATTATACATTGAAAATGATTTTATATTAATATAAAAAATACGATACGTAAAAATATATGAATAAATTATTAAGTAACAAAATCAATTTACTTATCAATTTACAGGTTTATACTACAATGGTATTACACGGATAACTGATAGATGGAACAAGATTGAACGATTAGAATGATGATTAGAATGCGATTGCACATGTGAATGAGAAATTAAGCGATCGATGAGAATAATTTCGATAAGACGTCAATATAAAGTGACCACTCGAATTCTTCGAAATATTTCCCCATTGTAGCTCAATCCGGAGATAAGGTACCCGGATCTTGGGCTGCTCACTGAAATACCCGCGAACTTGGCCAAGGTGATAGAAAAATCGTGATTTGGCAACGACTTTGTCGTCGCGGCCGACTCCCCGGAAGCTCCAGTGTAAGCTCGGAGTCTGATTAGTCGCGCAATTAGCCTCCCAGCGTCGCCAGCTCTCGGTGCATTAGATCGAATTGCGGGGAGGTAATCGGGCCGGCTCAATAGCCCGACCTAACGACGAGGGCCACGGACTACGTGTGTACCTACCTATGCGTGAGCGCCAGCGTTAGTGTCAGTGTCAGTGTGTGTGCGCGCGCGCGCTCTTGCGCGTGAGAGATAGAGAGAGAGAGAGATAGAGAGAGAGAGAGAGAGAGAGAGAGAGAGAGAGAGGTACGAGTGCGGAAGGGCACGGGCGAGCGGCGGGGAACCTAGAGCCACGCATCAAGTTTCGCTCCGAGCGGACTAACCAACAACCTAATAACCTCGCCTTGCCATGGTGATTGACGCGTCTGTACTAGCTAATTATCAACAACAATCAATAATGGCCCGAGCGACGCCTCCGTGCAATTCTGCTCGGCCGGAATTGCGGAAGGAAGGGTAAGCAAAGGAAACGACAATGATAGGGGTGATAGTGGGAGAGTGAGGGAGATGGAGCGTGGAGTGACAATGGGAAAGGCCAAAAGAATAAGTCTTTATTATGAATTTCAGTTTCCTCGTTGACTTTTTGGAGAAAAGTCTCTGCGAGACTATTTAAAATTAAATTACCAAATGATTAATACGTCAAACCTGACAGTTCTTTTTATGCTTATTTTGTTCTTGTTTATACTTCGCATGTCGCATTGAATAATAATCCGAATAAAGTTAGGAATTAATGAGATTTTCAACACAGCTTTAATATTTAGAATAAAGTAGCTCTCATTTTAAAATACATCGGTAGTAGTGTTCTACTCTCAATGCTAATCATTACTAAACACTAAACGAATAAACATCATATTATGACATTTTCACTTCGGACATTATCGAAAATGGCTAACTATACTCCTCTATTTTAAGAATAAATTTTAAAAAACTCGGTAGCTTAATTAGCCATTCGCGAGAGTAATATAATGACGTCAAAGCTTTAAACGAGGACTTAAGGTCGATTTTTCATCCGTTCTTGTCCGCGCACATTCAAATACAGCTGCAAAAATATAATCATTCTGATACGAGACCTTCGGTTTCAATTTAACAGGAATTTAACCGGTAACCAGCCGTTGTTTCTCTACATTTCTATCGGATCATAACACAGGTCTGTATAGTTCAGAAGCTGTATATGGCGATTCTTACCTTTCTTCCGCTTTAATAAATTTTTTTTCTAGACCCAAGATCGCTCATTCATAGTTTTTAATGCCTGCTATTTTGGTTGTGGTATTCATTAGGAATTTATTGTTACCCTGATAGGAAATGTATTTATATATATATATATATATATATATATATATATAGGATATGTACGAACGATATGATGATTTCTTATTTTGAAAATACGTTATAAATTTTTTTTTCTTTATTTTTTTTTTATTTTACAAATAATCGTTACATTTACTTTTATAACCTATTATTTGATAAAATAAAAAACAAATTATTATTTTTAACGAATTTTAATTATCGCCTATTATAAATTTTGGAGGCCTTTGTTTAAAACATATCAATCATGTTGTCGGTTGCAGTCGCATAAATTAACATTAATTTATAATACAGAATATATGGTTGATTAATAACCTGCTAACAAAATAATAATACACTTACTTAGGTGCTTAGAAGTAATGTGTTACTGGTTTATTTCCCACTCGAAATGTCATTGAGAAGTTAAAATATTTAAATCGATTAGCTTTGCGGTAATTTTCAGCCTTAAGAACAAACATTCGAATTACTCATCTCCAAGTCGTAAAAAATGCCGTTTATGCTATTATTTCACTGGATTAATGAATATGCTACCAACCAAATTTTTTAACATGCATTACAAAACAAACATAAATAATCGAGCAGTTTTTCGTTTTTCTGTGCCCATATAAGTCAGAGAGCTCCGTACATCGTATATTTACGTATGCGCATTGCACAGGCTACATACAGCACGACGACAATCATAAACATAAAATGTTTTATTTATTTATTTGTGATACTATTCGTTGCATAGAGTAAACATAATATAAGCGTAAATTCGAATTTATGTTTATAGATAATTTTCTGGAGGCTAGATTGTGGCAAATAAAGAAAGATTCGAAATAGAGTCATCTTGCACTTATGTGCAGTTGCTGCTTATAATGGAGATATATAAATGGGCCTTAAGATTCTAACGAACGATTCGATTTGTGCACTAAGATCGTTGAAGGTTCGAGCATCGAGCTAATCGCACGTATACAAAACCCGGCCGAGCTCGCCATCCACCTTTCGTATAATTGATTCTCAAGTTTTTTTCTACCCCTGCAATGCAGGGTGGACGACGGGCGAGGAAGGAGGGCGGGTGAACGGGAGGGAGGAGAGAGGGGCGATTACCACGGAAAGCCATTATCGCCGTGAGTAATGGGTGTGGAATCGGTGCCTGCAGGTACCAACTAATGCGCGCACCTCCTGCGTTTCGCCTACGCGCTTTCGTTGCATTAATCAGTTGGGTCGCACCGATGTATATCAGTTGTACGATCCAGGCGAGAACGCACACGATGAAATTCTCACTTTAAAAAACGTCCCTGGCGTTGAGTACTTTCACCCCATTCGCAGCAACGATCTCTTTCTCTTACGTGGGCGTGTGCGTGTACGTGTGCGTATGTTTTTACGGCTCGAAGGGACCGGGTGGTTGTGTGTGACCGGGAGGGGGCTGGGTGCTGCCGTCGTACATCGCCCCTTGGCTTTTTTTGCGATACGGAGACATTCACGCAAGTACGCCTGCGTACGTACACGCTGTAATTTCTTTCTAATGTTCGGCTGCCAATCCTTTCCCAACGCACTTACGATTTATTAGATAATTATCAAATGTTTTGCTCAGAACGTGATATCGACGTCGTTGTCATTCCTGCAAAAATAAAGCCTTATCTTTTCGCTAGCATTTCTTCGTCCCGCCTTTCGTTTTTATTTTAATAAATGTGTCGCACTTCGACGATTGAAACAAATGGTATTTCTATATCTTCGTATGTCAATTTTTGCTTCACGATACAGCATTTTTACAAACAGCCATTGACATTGGTTTTATCATCACGATTACTTCTTCTGCTGACATTTAATATTCTAAACGCAAAGCCATTGAGCTTTTGAATGGATGTTAATTCGAATTGTTTATTGAACGACATTGGCTCGAGCGTTGAATTTAATAAATTAATAAATAATATTTATTATATTGTACTGTAATAGGTGGCAGAAAATGTACACGCGTTTCAAATACATTAACGTATTAATTGACATGCACAAAGAAAGTCCTCTATCATGATTTATTTCATAATTTATCCTTCAAAAGCAACGTACAATTAACCTGCCCGCTGCCCGCGTTGACTCGAATAATCTTCGTAAATAAATGCATTACATTTGTTTGGCCGTAATCTGATTAGTTATATAAAGATTAATTGTTAAAATCATTGGGCGGAATGAAGTCGTTGCAAAATCAATGTCTTATATATGATCGGCCTATCCGCGCTCGAATCTTTATTTAAAAAAAATATGCTAATAGTATCATTAAGAAAGTCGCGAGCGAAACGGCAACTATCATCGACGACACTTTAATCTCGTGAAGTATCAAGTAGGCAGCAGGACGAGTGTCAAAAATATTGCCCGTTGCATATCAATTGGCCGACCGAAGATCTTAACGCGCGTATAAAAATTGACAAGCGGCCAAATTGAAAGAAAAATGTAAAGCAGCGCTTTACAGATAAGACGAAGATGAAATGGCGATCGAAGGGGCGAAGGGAAGGAAAGGCAAGGCAGGCGCCTTCTCTTTTCACATCCCTGCGCAATTTCCTCTTGACTATCCTGTCAAGCTAGCTCCCTTCGACCGCGCTCTGCACTTTTCCATCTCTCGGCTCTCTCTCTCTCTCTCTCTCAGCTCTTGGCGCAAGAGTTACGCAGATGTCCAAAAATGGAAGAAAGAAGAAATGACGAGGAGCGGCATGCGCGCAGTGCCGAGAGGTAGTCTCAACCTGAGCCCGGCACCCGGGAAATCGAAGGCGGAGATGCCTTTCCAGCTGACGTCACGTCCCGCGCGCGGGCTCCTGGATCGACGGCGGGGCGTATCGTCGACTCGTAAAGAAGTCTTCTTTTGTAGCTACTTAGGAGATTGACACGCCGAGATAGGATAATGGACGAGAGCGAGGGTGGAGG